TTTAAATTTCGCATCCCATAGTGTGACCCAGAAATGGAACCAGAATGGAGAATATAGTACTCAGTGAGCGACCCAAATCCCCAGGTCTAGAGGGACGCTGCTTCGGGTTTTCAGGCAACCGAGGAAAACACATTACCCAGAGGCTCCATACTGTTGATGGACAAAATCCTGCATGACCCTAAGGACTCTAAACTATGGGAACTATATGGTATATTCCTTATAAAGGGTAATGCAGGGTTTTGTCCATCAACAGTAGTAGTTCCGTTTTGGGGTTCGTATGCAGGATCCTAATCCCCAAAAAGGAACGACTGCGGAGCCTATGGGTGTTGCTTCATTCCATGATGATGGTCCCCAGAACCGAAGAAACACACGAACTAACTAAACAACATGAGCGGAATACGCCAGAGCAAAGTCCTATAACTCAAGGAAGAAAGTCAGTAGAAGCCCCCAACCCTGGAGCTTTGCCCTTAACCTGCACCCTAGATGATGACGTGGGGGCCTGGAATAATTAGTAGACATATATGTCAGAGTATAACCCTGCTTTAACAGTTTAGGGTTAACATGCTCAAACACCCGATTCTAGTTATAAGGCCCGCAATATTCAGGAACCCTTACGTATAGTAACTATAAAGGACTCTTCAGAAGGCACCTCCTTTAATCACTACAAGCCCTCTTTTAGAGCAGCATGTTGCCACTAGAGCGGATCGCCAAACCCTAAACCCTAAAACCTGTAACCCCTTCTAACATTCAAGCAGAGCAAGGCCACCTGGTCGAAAAGGGTTTGGCGCATGGCTGCGCTTGTGCGTTGTCTCCTCACAGCTTTGGGTTTAATCTAAGCATCTCAGCAATTTGAACAAGCTTCCTTTGAGCGTTCTTTACAGGGCTATACCCGATTCACTATAATGATTCGATGATGCAGGGGGTTTTTAACACTTGAAACAGTGGTTTGGTGCAATTCATCATACCGCAATTATTATGTAGGGACTACAGGGGAGTACTATGACTAGTTATTCAGCTCCAGACACTATTCCGATCCTTATATTAAGCTTTCCCTGAGGATCCAGGTACTCACACACTAACCTCAGGGCGGGAGTCTTAACGGCTTCACGACTTAAGGCATTTGGTGAGGGCCACCACGGTACACTGCACAAACGGAATCTACTAATAATGATCGTAGATTTGCTGTAGATAGTCGATCCTGGTTGTATGAGGGGGCTGGGTTTGGCCAGCAGTTGAGGAGTTTTGTTTGTTGGGTGCACGGTGATGCAAGCTCAATCTGAACCCAACTCCTAAGCCGAGTGTCCTGGAACGTCTTGTCGCAAAGCGTTCGTTGCCCTCTTGAAGGAGGCGCAAAGCCTTGCAAATTCAGTCTTCGATGGTCCCGATGGTGGAGGATTTCAAATTGCATGCTTATAACTTTGGGATTGTAGGGTCTTCAATTTGAGGTGCAGTGCCTTCGGGCTTAGGGCATGCTTTTCTTGAACGGGTGCAAGGAAACCCAGCAGCGACCGTGATGCTCATCAGTACTTTGGGTTTCCTATACCCTAAATTCTCTTCCATGAATCCGCAAACCCTAAACATTGTCGTCTCACGCCTCAGTTTGTGCCGGTGTCGGCAGCAAGTGGCAAGCATCCAGGCTTTCTCGGTAGGTCCCTCTTGCTTGGAGTAAACACGAATCACAAGCGCAAGCGCTTTGCTGAAGGCTTTCGAGTTGATTGCAGTTGCCGACAAGCCCACCGACGTAAATAATACTGATATACTACTATGATTGGAATGTGTACTGAAAATAACGCTACTGTTATTCTTGCTAGCACACGTCGTCTTATCAAACTAAACACGAACAACAGCGACACGCACGACAGCGCTATGTGCAAAACGAAACTAACTCCTTCGTTTAGGGGTTTAGGGTAGGGTTTAGAGTCTTACGAATGCTGGAACTCTCGCCAAACCGCTGAAGCTTCTCAAAAGGTCCTAAGCCCTAAACCCCTGAGGCCTTCGCCCGGACCTTCCGACATCCCCCAATTAATTAATAAACCTATTCCTTGTTTGAAGGATTTTGGAAGGTCTGCGTGTTGCTACACCCGAAACCCCTGAGGCCCTAAACATGGACCTGCCTCATCGGCACTCAGCGGACCGTCCGCGGCCGTGCGGATGCGCGGCCGCGGCGGCTCAAAGCGACGCAAGAAGGCTGCACAGCACGTCTCGTTCATGGCCGGGGACTTTTCTTAAAGGATCAGGGACTTTATTGACTTTACCAAATCATATTACATTACAATACCCTTTACTATACTATAGAGCGACTGCTGCTCAGTGGGCCCGAAGAAGTGTAGAAAACCAAAAGCCACCATGTGCTTGCTAAGTTCCTCGGATCCGGAGAGTTGAGTTGTAATGTTACCTAGGCTGTGCGGCTCTTGGTTCAAGTGTAGTTATGGTATGGGGCTGTGGCGGTCTTGGATGAATGACCTGCAAGCCGAACTAAGGTGTTTAGGGATAGGGTCTAGAGTCTAAGTAAGTTTGCAGAGGTCTAAGAGGCGAGGCCGAGGCAAAAATGAGGCATCGGAGCACTGATACCGTGCTGGAAACCTTTCCGGTTTTGATATGTTCGGAGTTTCGGAGTCATAGAGTCAAGACCTCCATGGTTTAGGGGTTCTGCGTTTCGGGTTTAGCCCGGAAACCGTAGTGGCTGCTTCAGATGTTAGCCTGTTCTTGGGGCATTCCAAACTCGAGCCAGTCGCCTGCAGATGACAAACTTTACGTTTCACATGTTTCACAAGCGTGGAACACCTTAATCTGACCCAGACGACGAGTTTTTTTGAAACTTGATACACCTTCAAACCCTATGTGAATCCTGACCTGTAGTTGTTCTATTTGTCTGTCTGTCTGTCTGGCTGTCTGGCTGTCTTGCTGTCTGGCGGTCTGGCTGTCTGGCTGTCTGGCTGGCTGTCTGTCCGTCTGTCTCTCCATCTCTATCCCTATCTCCATTTCTGAGGGTAAGTCAGTAGGTATAGGCAAATCGGTGAGTACTTTCCAGGTACAGTGCTCCTTGTTGCTACCTATAACAAAGTCTCCAGGATTATATTGCGCTTTTGATTGACCGAGTCTTTTTAACCCAAACCTTACGTCCATACATCCTAGAAACCCAAACCCTAAGTGCCAAAAGCCGCACCGAAGATGCTTGACTGGAGGGTATCCGCAGACTTTCTTAGAGTAGGAGTGTGGGAGTCTAATCAAGTCTGACATCTTGCGGCAGAAAAACACAAGCCCTGAACAGTGGTTGAGGTGATTCGGGTTTTCGAGTTTAGGGGTTTGCGGCCGAACAGTTTTTGGAATTCGAGTCTGAAAGCATCTTATACGGGTTCTGTCAGAAATCTACACGGGCTTTATAAGGGGTAATCCGGTGGTGGCCCAACTGATTCAACGAACCTCATGCTCTACAAGCAGTAATATAGCGAGGGATCAGAGAGTATGGTTGCGGATTCAGGTGTAAGACCCAAAACCACCGAAGTGAAACCCTAAACCCTAAACCCTAAACCCTAAAACCCTAAACCCTAAACCCTAAACCCTAAACCCTAAAACCCTAAACCCTAAACCCTAAACCGTGGCTACGAAACCTTGGGTCTTCATGAAGCAAGGTTCTTTACATTGACATGGATCCTACCATGTTGGGATTAAGTACAGGACCGGGGTCTCTTAATCAGCTTCCTACGTTAGACTAGACGCAGACCAGAACAGAACATCCGCCCTTAAACCCTACTAGGAAAACCTGTGATTTTCGAGTGCGTTGCTTTTGCGGCTTAGGGTGTTCATAGTCTTGAATGTTTACGCATAGGCTCCATAGTAGTTCCTTTTTGGGATTACCTTATAGGATTCCAAAAAAGAATCCCGAAAAAGGAACTACGATGGAGCCTCTAGGTAGGCCGGCTGGGACCTAAACCCCAAATGTTCAAACGTCTAGCCTGAAAGTCCAAAGCCTGGAGACTAAAAAAAAAAACGATAAAACATCACAGAAAAAACACTTTAAAAACCAGTGCAGAGCCCTAAACCCTGCACCCTACATCTTTACGCTGAGGCTCGGCATAGCCCCAAAACCCTGGCATAGAAGGGTCTTTGGGCCCACAAGCCTTATAAGATGAATTCCTGTATAGAGCCCAAAACCATAGCAAACAAGGGCCTTTGGGACCTACAGCCTTGCAAGAGATGAATCCTAAACCCCTAAACCCCTAACCGACCTAAACCCTAAACCCCTAAACCCCTAACCGACCTAAACCCTAAACCCCTAAACCCCTAACCGACCTAAACCCTAAACCCCTAAACCCCTAACCGACCTAAACCCTAAACCCCTAAACCCCTAACCGACCTAAACCCTAAACCCTAAACCCCTAACCGACCTAAACCCCAACCCCTAAACCCCTAACCGACCTAAACCCTAAACCCCTAACCGACCAAAACCCTAAACCCCTAAACCCTAAACCCTACACCCCTAAACCCCTAACCGACCTAAACCCTAAACCCCTAAGAGACCTAAACCCTAAACCCCTAACCGACCTAAACCCTAAACCCTAAACCCCTAACCGACCTAAACCCTAAACCCTAAACCCCTAACCGACCTAAACCCTAAACCCTAAACCCCTAAACTCCTAACCGACCTAAACCCTAAACCCTAAACCCCTAACCGACCTAAACCCTAAACCCCTAAACCCCTAACCGACCTAAACCCTAAACCCCTAAACCCCTAACCGACCTAAACCCTAAACCCCTAAACCCCTAACCGACCTAAACCCTAAACCCTAAACCCCTAAACTCCTAACCGACCTAAACCCTAAACCCTAAACCCCTAACCGACCTAAACCCTAAACCCTAAACCCCTAACCGACCTAAGCCCTAAACCCTAAACCCCTAACCGACCTAAACCCTAAACCCCTAACCGACCTAAACCCTAAACCCTAAACCCCTAGCCTCGGGTTCCAGTCATGGCAGTGCCGGACGCCCGAGTCTGGAGCCCGTCTTGGCGATGGTCGACGCCGACATGTGCCTGCTGTACTTGGGGAGTTATAAGGGTTCCTTTAAGGGTCCCTTTAAAGGGATCTATAGGGAATCTATAAGGATATGTACGTAGGACCTTTAGGTCCTATTTGGCGTAGGGCTTGCTCTGTGTCTTAATATATACTGTGTATATACGCAATTAAAAATTTAAAGAATTTAAAAAATTTAAAGGGGGTAAATCCTTTAAATTTTGAAATCGTCCGGAATTAAAAATTTAAAGAATTTTAAAAAATTAAAGGGTGTAAATCCTTTAAATTCTGAAATCGTCCGGAATTAAAAATTTAAAGAATTTAAAAAATTTAAAGGGGGTAAATCCTTTAAATTCTTTAAATTTTGAAATCGTCCGGAATTAAAAATTTAAAGAATTTAAAGAATTTTAAAAATTTAAATGTCCAGCTCCAGCTCCAGCCCCAGCCCCCCAGCCTTCGACCCCAGCCCACGGGATTAAATTTTTTTAAATTCTTTAAATTCTTTAAATTCTGAAATCGTCCGGAAATTAAAATTTAAAGAATTTAAAAAATTTAAAGGGGGTAAATCCTTTAAATTCTGAAATCGTCCGGAATTAAAAATTTAAAGAATTTAAAAAATTTAAAGGGGGTAAATCCTTTAAATTCTGAAATCGTCCGGAATTAAAAATTTAAGAATTTAAAGAATTTAAAGAATTTAAAAAATTTAAATCTCCAGCTCCAGCCCCAGCCCCCCAGCCTTCGACCCCAGCCCACGGGATTAAATTTTTTAAATTCTTTAAATTCTTTAAATTCTGAAATCGTCCGGAATTAAAAATTTAAAGAATTTAAAAAATTTAAAGGGGGTAAATCCTTTAAATTCTGAAATCGTCCGGAATTAAAAATTTAAAGAATTTTAAAAATTAAAGGGAGTAAATCCTTTAAATTCTTTAAATTTTGAAATCGTCCGGAATTAAAAATTTAAAGAATTTAAAGAATTTTAAAAATTTAAATGTCCAGCTCCAGCTCCAGCCCCAGCCCCCCAGCCTCCGATCCCAGCCCACGGAATTAAATTTTTTAAATTCTTTAAATTCTTTAAATTTTGAAATCGTCCGGAATTAAAAATTTAAAGAATTTAAAAAATTTAAAGGGAGTAAATCCTTTAAATTCTTTAAATTTTGAAATCGTCCGGAATTAAAAATTTAAAGAATTTAAAGAATTTAAAGAATTTTAAAAATTTAAATGTCCAGCTCCAGCTCCAGCCCCAGCCCCCCAGCCTCCGACCCCAGCCCACGGAATTAAATTTTTTAAATTCTTTAAATTCTTTAAATTCTGAAATCGTCCGGAATTAAAAATTTAAAGAATTTAAAAAATTTAAAGGGAGTAAATCCTTTAAATTCTGAAATCGTCCGGAATTAAAAATTTAATGAATTTAAAAAATTTAAAGGGGGTAAATCTTTTAAATTCTGAAATCGTCCGGAATTAAAAATTTAAAGAATTTAAAAAAATTAAAGGGTGTAAATCCTTTAAATTCTTTAAATTTTGAAATCGTCCGGAATTAAAAATTTAAAGAATTTAAAGAATTTAAAGAATTTTAAAAATTTAAATCTTCAGCTCCAGCCCCAGCCCCAGCCCCCCAGCCTCCGACCCCAGCCCCAGCCCCCAGCCTCCGACCCCAGCCCCAGCCCCCAGCCCCGAGCCCCCCAGCCCCACCCAGTCCTAGCCCCAGCCCCAGCCCCCCCGCCACCCCGCCAGGGCCTGCGCCTGCCCCCAGCCTCCAGCCCAGCTGCCTTTTCGCCCACCCCCCCAGCCTCAGCCCCAGCCCCTAGGCAGCCTCACCCAGCCCCCAGCGAGGGGCGTTTATGGGGCAAAACCAAGCTTTGCAGCCCTGCCCAACCCCAGCCCAAGCCCGAGGGAGGGCCCCAGCCCCCGGCGACACCCCTTGCGATTTGATTTTGGAACCTATTGGTTGAAAAAACCTTTAGGCTAGTAATGGAGTTCTTACAAAACCTTAGTTAGGGGGACACCCCTTGCGATTCGTGTTTTTGAAACATATTTATTACAAAAACCCTTAGGGTGACACCCCTTGCGATCCATGGTTTTCGGATCTGAGTTACAGGTGTTTTGCTGGACCACAGGTCACTTCCGCCAGATTTTGCCAGCAGATGTGTGAAATCCCTAGCCCTTGTTTTCATGCGGTATTTACAGGTGTTTTGCTGGACCACAGGTCACTTCCGCCAGATTTTGCCAGCAGATGTGTGAAATCCCTAGCCCTTGTTTTCATGCGGTACTTACAGGTGTTTTGCTGGACCACAGGTCACTTCCGCCAGATTTTGCCAGCAGATGTGTGAAATCCCTAGCCCTTGTTTTCATGCGGTATTTACAGGTGTTTTGCTGGACCACAGGTCACTTCCGCCAGATTTTGCCAGCAGATGTGTGAAATCCCTAGCCCTTGTTTTCATGCGGTACTTACAGGTGTTTTGCTGGACCACAGGTCACTTCCGCCAGATTTTGCCAGCAGATGTGTGAAATCCCTAGCCCCTGTTTTCCTGCGGTATTTACAGGTGTTTTGCTGGACCACAGGTCACTTCCGCCAGATTTTGCCAGCAGATGTGTGAAATCCCTAGCCCTTGTTTTCAAGTGTTACTTACAGGTGTTTTGCTGGACCACAGGTCACTTCCGCCAGATTTTGCCAGCAGATGTGTGAAATCCCTAGTCCTTGTCTTCACGCGGTATTTACATGTGTTTTGTTCGAGCACAGGTCACTTCCGCCAGATTTTGCCAGCAGATGTGTGAAATCCCTAGCCCTTGTTTTCATGCGGTATTTACAGGTGTTTTGCTGGACAACAGGTCACTTCCGCCAGATTTTGCCAGCAGATGTGTGAAATCCCTAGCCCCTGCTTTAGCGCAGTATTTACAGGTGTTTTGCTGGACCACAGGTCACTTCCGCCAGATTTTGCCAGCAGATGTGTGAAATCCCTAGTCCTTGTTTTCACGCGGTATTTACAGGTGTTTTGCTGGACCACAGGTCACTTCCGCCAGATTTTGCCAGCAGATGTGTGAAATCCCTAGCCCTTGTTTTCATGCGGTATTTACAGGTGTTTTGCTGGACCAGAGGTCACTTCCGCCAGATTTTGCCAGCAGATGTGTGAAATCCCTAGCCCTTGTTTTCGCGCGATATTTACATGCTTTCTGCTCGGTCCGGGCAGGGAAGGCTGGGCGTGCGGAAGCAGGCAGCCGTGCCCACCCACCCCGTCCCATCCCACCCACACCTCACTCCACCCCTCCCTCTTTATCATCCACCTCATCATCTTCACTATCTTCCTCCTCCTCATCCTCCCATACCCCTCCCTCCCTCTCCCTATCCCTCCCACTACCCCCTCCCCTCACCTTCCTCACTCTCCCCCACCTCCACTCCCTCTACCTCTCCTCTTCCCCTTTCTCTCTCCTGGAATCTCCACCCTCCCCCAACCCTCCCTTCTCTCCTTCTTAAATATCCCCCTAAGGTTTTGTGAAAACTCAGATCCCAAAACCACAGATCTTAAGGGGTGTCCCCCTAAAGGTTCTCATGACAAGTAAGTGCAAAAAGCACAAATCGCAAGGGGTGTCCCCCTTAAGGTTTTGTGAAGATTCAAATCCCAAAACCACAGATCTTAAGGGGTGTCCCCTAAAGGTTTTCATGACAAGTAAGTTCAAAAATCACAAATCGCAAGGGGTGTCGCCCTAATATTTTGTAAGAACTCAGATACAAAAATCACAGATCGCACGGGGTGTGCCCCTCTCAGGCTTTGTAAGAACTCAGATCCAAAAATCACACATCGCAAGGAGCGTCCCCCTAAAGGCGTTTGTAAATGATCCACCCTGTCCCTCTCACTTGCCTCCTACCTCCCCCCCTCCTAACTCATTCCTTCCCTTCCCATCTCATGTCTCCTCACCTCCCATCACTTTTTCTCCCATCCACTCATCTTCTTATCATCTTCTTATCACCTTCATCACTTTTTAATTTTTCTTATGGGGTCTATAGAGCCCATATAGAAAGCTTCATAGATATATAAACCTTACAGATCCTCGAGATAAAGAACTTGTAGGAACCGCTTATGTTTCCCACAAATGGAGTCCTTTATAAAAAATCTTTGAAAGATCGATTATATGGAGCCCTCATACACAGTCTTTATATCATCCTTATAGAAATCTATAGATCCTTTGTACAAATCCCTGATATGGAACCCTTTGTAGAAAACCCTAGACTATACAATCCAAACAACGCACCCACCCTCCACTCCCTCTACCTCTCCACCCATCTCCCCACTCCCTCCTCCTCTTCCCCTCCCTTTGTCCACCCGCCCTCCCCTCTCCCCACCTTTTCCTTGCGCTCCCTCTACCTCCTCTCTCCACCCACCCTCTTCTCCCTGTTCCTCTCCACCCTCTCCCCACTCACTCACCCAACCCACTCAGCCCGGCCAGGCTCCCCAGCTGGTCCTGCCTCAAAGCAAGCCGGGCGTGCTGGCCGTGGATCTCAGCAGGCCCCTGCCCACCCTCGAGAGCCCACCAGGCTCAGCAGGCCAGGCCGCAGGCAAGCTGCGAGCTGGCCGCCTTCGGCAAGCTGTCTAACCTTGTTTCTTATCCACTTTCACCTATTCCCCCGCTTCAGTCCATGCCCTACCTTTCACTCCTTTCCAGACCCTTCTGATATGAGTAAAATGAGAGGAGGAGGTCAGAGGGACGAAGAACAGCTCTCTCCATTACTTTCTCATCTGCTTTGACCCCTTCCCTTTCCTGGCTCCATCATGCCCTGCGAGAAGAGAAGAATAAGAGAGAAAAGAGGAAGAGCAGAGGAGAAACTGGTTTCCCCTCTTTCATTACGTAGCATTTCTTTTGGCCACTTCCTCCACACTTCTCGTATCTTCCTCTCTCTTCTTCCTCTGCTGGGCTTGAAGCTCTCTCTCGCCCTCTCCGCAACGCTCTTCTTTCTGTCGAGCGGACGAGCGGTGGGAGAGGAAGGGCACAAGGTGAGTGAAGACGAGAACACTTCTTCCTTGTCTTC